CCCCAGGAAGGTGGTGTCCATCCAAGTACTGTTGGTAGTACTGGTTTGGAGCAAGGACTCCCCTTTGGAGACTAGAAAACAAAACAACCCCCCCATACACACACACCATGTGCTTACCCCCCTCTTCCCTCCTGACCACCTAGAAAGGAAGAGGGCCGGATCCTTGGCCTCCTCCCCACCTCCTCTCCCACTGCCTGAGCCCTTCCTGGGGCTTCTGAGGCCATCCCCTCCCCCGCCCACCCCCTCCGTCCTCATAGCATCCCAAAGAGGACCAGGAGCCCAGAGCACGGCCTCCCTCCGCCTGTAGTCCCAGCTACTATGAGGCTGAGATCTGAGGATCACAGTTTGAAGCCAGCCCAGGCAGGAAAGTCCGTGAGACTTTATCTCCAATTACCCCACCAGAAAAACAGAAGTGGCGCTGTGGCTCAAGTGGTAGAGTGCTGGCCTTGAGCTGAAGAGCTCAGGGACAGCGCCCAGGCCCGGAGTTCAAGCCCCACAACCGGCACAAAAGAAACCAGGAAGGAAAGTTCCAGAGTCAGGGTGAGCCTGCCAGCTGTGGCTTACTTTGACAGCATGAGGTAACTGGTGGAAGGAGGGTTGTTCTGGCTCACGGCTCCAGACGCTCCCATCCGTGACGACTGACTCACCTTGCTTCATCAGGTGGGAGCCACGCCACCCCATGGAACAGTTTAGACTCTGGGGTCTCCTGATCCTTTCAGTGGCCCCCAATTGCCTACAGAGTAGCCGGAAGCAGGACAGCACCCCCACGGGCCTTCGACTGATAGGCCTTTGACTGATAGCCCTAGCAAAGGCTGAGGCCACCCTGAAACAGTGTGCCCATACTTCAAGACTCTGCTCCAGGATTGGCTTTGGGATGTGAGATGCTGTCAGACGTGCAGGCAGAGGGAAGTGCAAGCCCCGAGCAGCCACACAGTCCCGTCGAGGCCACGACGGAGCCCTGACTTCCTGAAGCTCTTCTTGCCCCAGATACTCAGGGCCTGTGACCCGCGTTCACTGGGGAGGGGCGGAATCTCCACATTCTGCACATCAGGAATGAGGCTTAATGAGACTCACTCAGGCAGATTTCTAACCAAGGCTCCCAGCCCAGCATCAGGAGACCTGAGCTGACTTGGAGCGTGACATCTAACCTTGGCTGTCCCTCTCTGGGCCCCAGCTGTAGAGAGAAGTTGAGCCAGAAGAACACTTATCTCACATCTTGGCAGGTAGAACCCTGCAGATGGGTGCCCCAGGCCTGTAGTGCGGACCTCTACCCAGCCACCCCCCTCCCCTCCCCTCTGAGCTCACCTTCGGGAAGGGCCCACCAGGCTGGGCAGCTTGGGTTTTCTTTTGTTACATTGTGGCTCTAAGAATTGAACTCAAGTCCTTTGGCTTTCCATTTAGTTTCCAGACAGAATCTCCCACTATTTCCCCTGGCTCTCCTCAAACCATGATCCTCCTATCCCTTCCTCTCAAATACTGAGATTACAGGCATGCGCTGCCACATCCAGCTCAGGATGGAAAATTCGCAAGGACTTCTGGCCATGAACCGCCCAGAACATGGTCTCTTGAGCTCCTGAGCTCTGGCGGATGGGCAGTCTGGGTGTAGCCATGAATGTGGCATTGGCTGGCTGAGGATGCAGGTGGAGAGCAGGTAGCTGGGGGCAGGTTCTCTGAGAGCTGTTCGCGCATGGGTTTGCGCACACACCATACACACACGTCCTTCCAGCAGCCCTGGGCCATCATGGGGGTGCTCATGAGCATATCAGGTGCCTTAGTGGACCCTCAGGAAGTGGCTATTTGGAGCCTCCTACGTGCATATTGAGCCCCTCCGCTGGCTTGTGGGCAGACCACAAGCCAGCTTTCACCGTGGACGCTGAGGGAGGAGGGAGTGAGGGCCTCAAGGTCACATGGCCTCAGTAGAAGTCCGGAAGCCACTTCCTGATGTTGGAGACAGCAGAGCCAGGGTGGTGCTGGGCCAGGTGGGCGCTGCCCCTCACCAGAGCCTGCAGGCAGGGGCTGGCGGCTGCCACAAGTTCCTGGTCAGTCATGTGAAGGACTTCCTAAGTACTTGTGAGGATTAGCGAGGACCATTGCAGCCTTGGCACCGTGCCCAGCCCCACCCACCCCCATGTCACCACATGGTGTTCTTAATAGCAGGAAAACTGAGTCTCCGCAGGCCCAGGGACTTGCCCAGATCTCCAGGCCAGGGTGGCCAGTCAGACCTCAGGCCAGCACGGCAGCCACGCTGCCCTGCGTTGTGATGTTGACTGAGGCCAAGGATGCATTTGTGGGGCATAGGCTGCTCTTCCCCCACCATCACTGTGAGCGACAGTGCAAGGACACCGGGGTGCACACCTTCAATCCCAGATCCTCAGGAGGCTGAGATCGGAGGATTGCGGATCAAAGCCAGCCTAGGCAAGAAAGCTCAGGAGACTCTTACCACCAATGAACCACCAAAAAGCTGCAAGGGAGCTGTTGTTCGAGTCATAGAGTGCTAGCCTTATGTATAAAAGCTGAGGGACAGCGCCCAGGTCCTTACTTCAAGCCCAGTACACACGCATGCACACGCACGCGTACACACAGAAAAACAAGTAAAGCTGTACAAGGACGTCAGCCTCCCTGGGTGTACCAGGGTTCAAGGACCCATCACCACTTTTAATTTGACCTTCATTTGAAATTTGTTCCCAAAGATTCAGCTTTTATACATTCTGGGTCCCCAGCTGGGGGTTGGGGGGGAACGGCGCCAGTCGGTGTGGTGTCCAGCCGAGAAGCTGGCAGAGCCAAGATTCCCCAAGCGCTCCACACAGACACAGACCACCCATGTGAACAAGCACGTCCCCTGCCGGATAGGAGGTGAAGGACACAATGGCGCAGAGGTCCCTGGAGCCCAGAAGCCTCTGCACATCCTGTCACCCCCTCAAAGGCCATTCACAAAGGCCAGGAAGGGTCAGGAATGTGATGTTGGAGTCAGAGGGCTTTCTCCCAGTGTCAGGGCTGTGCCCGGGAGCCCATCTGTGCCCCAACCCAGAGCCTGCAGGGCGCCCCCTGCTGGCAGAGGTGGAGCAAAGGCCTTTCCCTGCCCTGGGTCTCCACCCTGGGCCCCCACCCATTCCCTGTCCAGCCCAGCAGGCCTGGAATTCCAGTGCTGTGACCTCAGCCAGGCCCAGGCCCAAAGAGGACAGACAGAGCTGGAAGGCTCAAAGCTGGAATTCAGTGTCCTGCGATCCCAGTGTGAGGTCTCCCTACACCGGTGGTGACTCAGCCACCTCCTCCTGCCTACCATAAAAGCAGGAGGATGAAGGGGTTCCCCAGGGACACAGAAGCCTAGAGTTGGGGCCCGGGTGCCCAGTGCCTTTGTGTCACATACTGAGTCCACCAGATTGGATGCCAAGGGCAGGAGGAAAGACACAGCCACCACCGGTCCCATGTCAGCGAGCTGGGGGCTGCAGCACAACACACAGTCCTGTGTGTGGACTTGGGGGTCCAACATGGCTGTGTGACTTCAGGCAAAGGACTAAGCACTCCGGGCCATACAGGCTGGAAATGGCCAGAGTCAGGAACTCATCCCACTCTCAACACTTCCACAGTTCGCCCCAAACCCCATCCAGGGCTCTCACGGGAAGGGGACGGGCACATGGCTGACGTTTCGTTTCTACACCACCACACAGCTCCTCTGTCAGGTCCACAACAGCCCCTGGGCTTCAGACTTTGCAGAGTTGTAATCCATCAGAACAACCAGAGCGAGGAGGGAATTGTCGGGGTCAACAATGGGGTCCTGGGCCTGCAGTCAGCAGTCAAGCCTAAGGCATCTGTGAATCGAATCACTTTCTGCCTGTGCAGATTTCCTCCTGCTTGAGCACTTTGTAAGGGACAGTCACACACAGCTTCAGCCTTTTCTATAAGGTTTTCTATAAAGCTTCAGCTTTTCTATAAGGCAGCCCCCCCTCCTCCCGGGGTGACTAGCCTCAGGACCTTGAGGTTGCCTGATGGTTTCTTGTGGGGAGAGATTGCCCCTTGTCATTCAGGCACGCTGGCAGACATCTGGATTACTTCCACCCTGTGGGTGCTTGCTTATGAATAATGCTTCTGTGCACCTTTATACACAGGTGTATGAGTAGTCATCATATTGTCATTCATAGGGTCACTTTTTTAAAGGTTTGGTCTTTTGAGAAAGTGCCAGGCTGTTTTCCAAAAGTGCTGCATCATTTTTCACACACACACACACACACACACACACACACACTGTGGTGGAGTTGCCCTCCCTGCCCATATTCGGCCAACACTTGTGATTGCATTTCTCTGACAGTCATGTCATCCAGCGCGGTTCTTGTTCTTGTTGGTCGTCCATTGGTGGTGAACTATTCCGATGAGTTACTCATTTTTTAAGTGGATTACCTTTTTATTGTTGAGTTGTAAGAATTATTTATATAGTCTAGATGTAAGTCCATTGTCCAGTGTAAGGCTTATAAGTACCTTCTCTGACCTGTGAATTACTTCATTCATGATATCCATGATGCCCAAGTTCTGATTTTGATGATGCCCAATTTAGCTTGTTTGGTTTTTGTTCTGATATAGAGGTCCAGGCTGATCTTGAGCCTCAACCCCCTCTCCAAGTGCTGGGATTCTAGCCATGCACTATGGCACTCGGCTTCTAATTTATCTGTAGGTGTGTCTTTGTGGCCTGTGATTCAGTGATAGATCTCTCACGCTTTGAATGAAAGGTTTTTTCCTGGGAAGGAAGCAGGGCTAGGTTGTTCTGTGGGCTCAGGGGGGCCCTTGGGTTTGTCACTGTCTCCCAGGCTGGGGAGGGTGGTTAGGATCTCAGCAGAGACCTGAGAGGGGGGGAAGGGAGTGTGGACACACGCAGTCCTGATTTTGAATCCTGGGGATGTCTCGAGTGGGGTCCTGAGACACCTCAGTGTCCAGGCTGCATTTCACACCTGTGAGGCTCGGGGAGGAGACTTGGGGTATTGAGAACTGACTGGTCCTTCTGTCCACAGCCATGAAAGCTGACCGGAAGCGCTTGAAGGGCGAGAAGACTGACCTGGTGAGCCAGATGCAGCAGCTCTATGCCACACTGGAGAGCCGCGAGGAGCAGCTGCGGGACTTCATCCGCAACTATGAGCAGCACCGCAAGGTGGTGGCGCCTGGGCCCCCCCCCCCCCCCCCCGTTCCTGCCCCTCCCTTTCCCTGAGCCCTCAGCTGCTAAGTGACAGAGGCACACGCCATCTGGGCCCCAGGGGTCTGCCTCCGCACACAGGGACATTTTTCCCCTAAGCAGCCATGTGGGCATCGCTCACCCCAGGGCAGGGGGTAGGGCAGCCTGTCGCTCAGGTCCACTGAACAGGTTTCCAGAAGGAGCTCTGCGGGGCTGTGTGTGGAGCACTTTCTGCTGGCGCCCATGTTGCTGATGGGAAACTGGCCTGATGGGGCAGGGCATCCCTGGGCATCGATGTGTCTTCACCCTTCACAAGTCCTGACCAACACCCAGGGCTCCTAAGGGTTCCTCTCCCCGTCCTGCAGCTGATTTGTGGCAGAGGAGGATTTGAACCCAGAGCTTCCTTGCTATCTGTTGAGTTGGAGCTCCTGGTCTCATGCTGGGGCCTCTCTGCTGTATCTCCACTCTCTGGGGTGACACCGTGGCTCCCTGTACCCCCCTCTGGGGTGACCCCCGGCTCCCTGTCCCCTGCTGCAGGAAAGTGAGGATGCCGTCAAGGCCCTGGCCAAGGAGAAGGACCTCCTGGAGCGGGAGAAGTGGGAGCTGCGGCGTCAGGCCAAGGAGGCCACCGACCACGCCGCCGCGCTGCGCTCCCAGCTGGACCTGAAGGACAACCGCATGAAGGAGCTGGAGGCCGAGCTGGCTATGGTGAGAGCCAGGGCCACCCAGGACACCCGGCAAAGTTCTACTGATTCTTTTTGATGACAGCACTGGGTTCTCGAACTCAGAGCCTGGGTTCTGTTCCTTAGCTTTTTTCACTCAGAGCTGGTGCTCTACCACTTGAACCACAGCTCTACTTCCTGCTTTTTGGTGGTTAACTGGAGATAAGAGGCTCACAGACTTTCCTGCCTGGCCTGGCTTTGAACCGCAACCCTCAGATCTCAGCCTCCTGAGTAGCTACGATTAGAGGCGTGAGCCACCAGCACCTGGCTAAGACACCATTTTCTTATGGTCACATTTGCTTACAGTCAGTGCTGGTCCTCCAAACCCCCTTGCTCACCATTCACCAGCATCACTGTGTTCTCACCAGGACCCGAAGGGGCGCTCACAGCGCATGTGTCTGTGGAGGGACCCAGGACCCAGGGCGGGCTGGTGGTGCCTGACTGCTCACGGTGCCCTCTTCCGTTCCATCCCTCCGCCCAGGCTAAGCAGTCCCTAGCCACGCTGACCAAGGATGTCCCCAAGCGGCATTCCCTCGCCATGCCGGGCGAGACGGTGCTCAACGGTAACCAGGAGTGGGTGGTGCAGGCAGACCTCCCGCTGACCGCGGCCATCCGCCAGAGCCAGCAGACCCTCTACCACTCCCACCCTCCCCACCCTGCGGACCGGCAAGGTGAGCCCAGGCACGGCTTCTCCGGGACGCATTGGGAGGGCATGCAGCCCAGGGAGAGGGGCCAAAGCCCGGGGCGGCGTGGGGCAGAAACGAGGAGTTTCTGACCGAAGAAGCTGCCAGCAGAGCTTCAGGCGGAGCTAGATCCGTTGGTTTCAACAGCGACTGGGTCTTGCCCTGGTCCTCCCCTCCCAGTCCTTCCCTCACCCGTCTACAGTGGGGAAGGCCGAGGACCGCGGTGGTCTCTGGCGCTGCCAGTGGTAGCCACAGCCCCGTCTGCTCCCCCAGAGACTAGGGGCCAGTCAGGCCAGCGGGGCACACACTGGAGCAAGGGGACCAGGCTAGGCATCGCTCCACTGGACTCAGGACCTGGCCCTGACCTCGGGAGGAGTCCTCAGGCCTGCTGGGTCCCTGTGTTCCGTGTCTCCCGTGTCTGCATGTCTCCCATGTCTGCTTGCCGCCCCACCCCACCTCCCTCCTAGGGTGCCGTGGAGATAACATGTAGAGAGTTCTGGAACGGGGCCGGGGTAAATGTCAGCCACTCAGCGATGTCCTTGGGGGTGGCATTGTCGTAAGAACTCTGGCCAAACCCGGAGGGAGACAGTGCCCCTTCCTGTCCCAGCCGGGGGTTCAGCCAAGGCGCAGGGGCCCAATGGCAGTCAAGACCCAATGGAGCCCCAAAAAGTGTCCCCCTTCCTGTCCCGCAGCCTGTGTGTGCAGCAGGTGAGCCAGGCTCCCCGGGACGGACCCTCACATCTGTGACTCAGTGGGGCCAGTGCTAGTCTGAGAAGGGCAGCCTGGGTTGACGGACCTCCCACAAGCCCATCCCCCAGCCACCGCCAAGCTTTTGATCAGACACCTCCTCCAGGAAGCCTTCTGGGCCCTGCCCAGCTTTTTACCCCCCCCCCAGATGCTCCCTTGCACCCCTGCCCCATCCCACCACGCCGCTGCCGTGGCGCATCTGTCCCCAGGAGCAGCAGGAAACGCAAAGGCCAGGCACAGAGCAAGGGTCAAGACACCCAGCCCGGCTGCTAGGGCCAGAACGGGGGGAGGTTTCACCCCGAGAATGCCAAGGTGTCTGTGAGGAGGGGGCAGGGAGGGCCCCTCAGAGTCCACCACAGTCTTCCAGGCCAGAGGTGGCAGGGGAGGGAGAGAAGGGGACGGGCATGGGGTCCTTCGGGCGATGCTGGTGTTGGAGTGTGGGGAGAGGAAGGAGCTGCCAGGGACCCTGGGCTTCTCGTCTGGGGATCCAGTGCTGAGCGGTCATTGGGGAACACAGGAGGGGCTTCGTTTACCGGTGTCTGGAGGACAGGGAGGGTCTCCCCAGTAGTGCTGCCTGGGCCGGGCAGGGCTGAGGCAGAGATGGGTGGATTGGGACACACTTCCCGCCTTCCCTCTGCCTCTGTGTTCCCATCCATACCCTGGGCACATTGGTCAGGCTGGTCTGCCTGCGGGCTAGTGCCTGGCCCTCTCTCACTGGTTGCCCCTCCATTGCAGCGGTCAGGGTCAGCCCCTGCCACTCACGGCAGCCCTCCGTCATCTCCGATGCATCCGCTGCCGAAGGTGACCGGTCATCCACGCCCAGCGACATCAACTCGCCGCGACACCGGACCCACTCTCTCTGCAACGTAAGGCCAGCAGCGGCGGGCAGGGCCCGGCCCTGCCCCAGGCCTCTGTGGGGAGGGAGGGCCGGGGCAGACACCCCCCCACTGTTTCCTCTCGTCCCCCAGGGAGCCCTGTGGCGAACACGTCCCCCGTTCTGTCCTCTCCTTTTGCGAGAAGCAGTGGATGTGGGGAGAGAAAGAGATGAGGCCGGGAGGGTGAGGAAAATCGAGGAAGGCCGGCCTCGGTCGGGTGGGCCACAGGGTCTGTGCAGCCTGGACCTCCGCCCCCATGGGCCCTGGCTGGGTGGGCCTCTTGTGGGACCGTGGTCACCTCCAGAGCCAGCCAGGACCCCTGCCCTGTGCCCTCTAGTGCCAGCTGCCCTGCTTCACTCAGGCGTGCAGCCTGGGCGTTGTCGTGATTGTGCTTAGTTTCCTATAGTTTGAGCCTGCATGGCCTGGGCCGCCGCGTCCTGTGGGTTTGTTCTCACTTGCTTCCTTCCCTTGCTCGCCTCACCACTTTGTGGTTGTGTGCTGGTGGGAGCCACTGCCAATCCCACTGACCATCGGTGCGTGACAACACCCCCAAGTGGGGGACGTAGGAAGAGGACAGGGCTTCCAGACCATGAGCCTCGGGGTCACACGCAACACCCAAACCGAATTTTGCTTCCATCACATGGCTGATATCTGAGGGGCTCCCCTACTCTTCCTGGAGACAGGGCACTCTGCTGTGTTTGAGGTCCTTAGTTGCACAAGAAGGCGTTCTCAAAAACTTAAGCTGCTCACACCCACAATCTCAGGAAGCTGAGATCCAAAGGATTGCAGTTCAAGACTAGCTAAGGCATAGAAAGTATGTGAGATTCTGTCTCCAGTTAACCAACAAAGAAAGGCAGATTGGAGGCATGGTTCACAAGGTGGAGCTCCAGCCATGTGTGGGATGGTTGAGCAAACAGAAGGCCCTGAGTTGAATCCCCAGTACCAAAATACAAACAACAACAAAAACTTTCAAGTAATATGGCTTTGTTAAGCAGGGAAATGAGGGACAAAGATCGGAAAACAGAATAAAGCCAATCTTTGCTGGCAACAGGATTTATCTCCCTGGAAAACCCAAGGGATTCGAGCTTCTCCTAGGCAAGTTCCTAAGGGACCTGGTGGAAATCATTTGGTGAAAATCAGTCACTTAGCTGGGGATTGGTGGCTCATGCCTAGCCCCAGCTACTCAGCTGAGACCCAAGGATAATAGTTTGAAGCTAGCCCAGGCAGAAAACTCTACAAGTCTCTTGGCTCCAGTTAGCTACCAAAAAACCAGAAGAGTGGCTCAAGTGATAGAGTATTAGCCTTGAGCCAAAAAAAGCCAAGAAACATCCAGGCCCTGAGTTCAAGCTGTAGTAACCAGGAATTTCAGTTCAAAATCAGAGCTGATAAAAGGAACTAAGACTCATCTTAAAAGAAGGGCCTGGCAAGGTCAGATGGTGTGGGTTCCTAAGACAGGGACCCCCCACAACCCAGGGCCTGACTCCCAGCTGAGATTCCTCCCTTACTGTAATGAAGCAGCTGTCCTGCTCTTGGCCCCCACTCCAGAGGAGAAGGCAATAGTGGCAGGGCTTTCTTGATCTAGAGGTTCAAGGCGGAAGTTGGGGTCTCTGAGGTACATTCTCTGCTTCCCAAGTAGTCAGAGCCAGCAGGAGCCGGCTTTGTGCAGGTGCGGAGAGAGTCCCAGGCGCCCTGTAACTCCCCTGCACCTTGCAAATGAGTTAATGTTCCTGGGGACTGCATTCTGCCTTCTCCTGGTGGCCCAGGGCAGCTTGGACAGCCAAAATGCCACTGGGCCCGCATGAGGGCCTTCTGCTGGCCTCTTGTGTCGGATCTGAGGGGGGCCAGTCCCTGCCCTAATTGGCCTTGGCCAGCACCTACATATACACAGGCATATTCATGCTCATGGCTCATGGCTCCAGTCTCTTACCCATAGGTTTGGCAAGGATGGTCCTCCCTGGGGTAGAGCAAGCTAAACTACCCATAGGATGGGTTGTGTTTCTAAACCTTTATATGGGGCCAAGAGCTAACTCTGGGCACCAATATCCACTTTGTCCGCCATCTTAACAGGTATGCACGCCCACCTACAGGTAAACTAGGAAGAGCGGGGAGATAGCCCCTAGATCACCCTCTGTTCCCAGGCATCTGTGGGCACCAGCAAGAGCAGCACAGCCTGCACAATGCAGTCAGGGGGGAAGAGGGCAGGGTGGGGAAATCAGTGGATACTGTTGCTTGCAATTCCAGGAATTGCCAGCAGGAGGCTCCCTAGTAATGCTTTCTGTGATCCAAATGGGGCATCCGCTCCTAGGCCAGGCAGCGGGATTCCGGAATGTGGGGAAGGCTTTGGCCATCGTGGGCTGTTTACTAAAGGCCTCTTTTTCCTGCCAGGGCAGTGCATGGCAGCACTCTGGGAACAGCCTCCCAGGGCTGGCTGAGACTCTGGGAAAGGAGGGCTGAGCTCAGGCCTGTGGGTGGGACCCTCCAGCACTGGTGGAGGGTGGCCGGAGTCCTGCTCACCTCACACAGAGCCTGTGGAGGAAGCCAGTCCCCCAAGCCACCCTGTGCCCCAAATTCTTTTCCTAAAAAAGTTTATTTCTTCACAAGAAATGAGTAGAACCAATCCTCCAGTTTCGTTGACATACTCAGGAGCTGTAGGCAGCAGCGTTGTTGGTTGAGAGTTGAAAGCGGGCAGCAGGCACCTCTGGTCTCAGCCTGGTCACACCTGGGTGAACCCCAGACCCCACCAACCCATCCACCAGCCAAGTGCGGGGGTCTGTGTCAGCACCTAGGAGCCGGGGCAGAGTGGCCCCGGCAGGTGGTGACTTTCTGGGAAGCTCTCTTCCCCTGTCGGGCCCCTCCCCCCACATCCGGTGACCCAGCCCCTCCCCCACGGTGTCCCACAAGACCGTGATCTCACCCCCCTCTTCCGCTACAGGGCGACAGTCCCGGCCCAGTTCAGAAGAACCTGCACAACCCTATTGTACAGGTAGGTGTACCCCCTGACCCCCGCGGCCCTCCCTGCACCCCAGTGTGACTCTGGTTCACCCTGTACCTTGGCCCACCCCCACGCCACTCCAGGGCTCCACGCATGCTCAGCTGGCACCCACGCCAAGCTAGGCCTGCAGACCTGCTGGCGTATACTGTGCTTGCTGCGCCCTGTTCTCTGGTGTGAATCTTCCTTAAAATTATCCTTCTCTACAGCCACTACCCCAGGCCAGCGGCTCTCTGGGTCCCTTGCTGTTGGCACTGTACCCATTTTTAGCATTTTTAATAATCTGTTATGAGAGTGGGGAGCAAATAATACAAGGGACATGAATTTGGAGGTCAGTTGGGGCTCTGAGGTCATCATCTCTCTGGTCTTAGGGTGCCCCCCTGGCTTGTCACTGCCCACCGGGCTTGGGGTCCCCTAGAGAATATGGTTCAAATGCATAGTGGTGACCTCAGCCTAGGGGTGTGGGGCCTGGACACCCAGGAATTCCCAGGTGTTCTGGGGTCCACGGCCTGGCCTAGTCTACATCCTGCCCTTCAGCTGGAGTGCACCCCGATGCCCCCATAGAAAGCATGGGACAGTCGGCAGACGCCACGCTCAGTCCCCGAGCAGGGCCAGCGTGGGCCGGGCCGGGCAGCTTCCATCTCTGTCATCTCTGTCCCACAATGAACAAGGGAGAACTGGGCACCGAGAGGTTGGGGCTCTCCACAGCCTCAGGGGAGGGGGGGGGAGACAAGCCCCAGCCCCCGCCACCCTCCACGTCCAGCCTGGCTTCCTGCCTAGGGCTGCCCCATGCCCATCACATGCCTGCGCTAGCCTGAACAGTAGACACGTGACAGTCTGAGGGGGCCTCTTGTCTTGAGGGGTTCTAGAGGTGCTTAGGAGAAAGACAAGACCCTGGCCTCTGCCCGAGCCCAGCCTCTCATGCCCTCCTCCCACCCTGGCCTTGGCCTTGGCCACGACCTGCAGGTAGACACTCCACCCCCCCCCCGACATTCTGTGCACCCAGGGAAGCTTATCTCTGTTCCTTTGTGTCCTCTTTCCTCCTCCTAGTCACTAGAGGACCTTGAAGACCAAAAACGGAAAAAGAAAAAAGAGAAGATGGGATTCGGCTCCATCTCCCGCGTGTTCGCCAGAGGGAAGCAGCGGAAGTCCCTCGACCCAGGCCTCTTTGATGGTACCGCCCCCGATTATTACATAGAGGAGGACGCAGACTGGTGATAGCCGCCGCCCTGCGCCCGCTGCCCACGGGCGTGTCTGTGTGTGTGGAAGAGCGAGTGTGTGAGCGAGCGAGCGAGCGTGTGGAGGCCGGGGCGGGGCGGGGGAGGGGCGCGTGGCTGAGTGCCTGGCCCCGTGGGGCCCATCCCCCGCGCTGCCGTCTCTGTAACTGATGTACATAACCACAGACCACGCGTGACCACGTCTACTCTGTTGTTGTCTCCAACGATACAGTTGTGTTTGTTAATCTTGTTGGTTTTTCTTTTTCCATGTTATTTTATTTTGTTTTGGTTCCTTGGTTTTTCCTCCTCCTCTCTTCCCTCCTCTTCGCCTCTTCCTTTTTATGAAACTTGAAAACTTGAAGGACTGTTGTGTTATTTGTAAATAACAAAGCCCTCGTCCACATTGCTCCCCAAAGACCTCAGAGCCCGTCTCACCGAGGTGGGGTCTAGTTTTTGACATCCTGCTTCTTTCCCGCCCCCCCCTCCCCTGTGTGAATGTGTGGGACCGGACCCTGTTCTCGGGGTACGCCACCAAACGCCATCACAGTCAGGGTTAGGTCACTCCGTCAAGACTCAAGGGCCTGGGCCAGGGCCTGGCCCTGGCGGAGGGGCTGGACCCTGGCTGCATTTGTTCCAGTCAAATGGGCTCTCTTTTTAACGGCCTGCCTGTTTTTAAATTGTGTTTTCAGTTTATTTCTTTCTAGGAAAAAAAAAAGAAAAAAAGAAAATGGTTTCGTTTAATTTATTTGCACAAATGCAGAAAAACATATTCTATCTAAATTATTACATAAATATCGGATTGTATATTTTTCCACGGGGTGGGTGGGAGGCGGGCATTTCTGTTCACTTCTCTTGTCTGTGTTCACCCCACTGCCTAGCTGTGCAGGGTAGAGCGTAGGGTGGCCGGGACTAGGGCCCTTGGATGGCCAAGCTCGCTTCTGTCCTCTCTCTCTTGTCAGTCTCTCCTGTCTGCTGCTTGTGCATGCCAGGCCCCGACCCACCTTCCTCCCACCCTATCTTCTCTGGCTGGAATCTCCCCTCCCCCACCCCATCTATCTGCCACCCAGAACATGGCCCATGGGCAGAGCATAAACCCGCTTGTGGGCATGTTCTTAGAGCGAGACTGAGTCCAGAGAGAGAGAGAGAGCCCGGATGAACAGGGGGTTGACTCTTGTTTTTTTAGCTATACTTAGCTTCTCTGGGATCCTTAGGCCCGGGCCTCCAACTTGTCCTGGCAGCTTGGGCCTGTTCACCCCAGGAGAGGAGGGCTTGGTGAGTGCCTCTTCCTATCAGGGAAGCAGTATCAGTCTCCCATGAGGCTTTGGGGGAGCAGCGTTGGTTCCCCCATGAGGCTTCACGAGGCTGGGAGCTGTGTGGAGGAACGGGGCATCCAGCCAGGTCTGCCCCACACCCACATTTTCCTTTCCTCTTAACCTGCAGTCCCCCCCCCCCTTTGCTCTCATCCTGAAAGACTAACAACACACATAGTGGCAAAACCTACTAACGGTATAGTGTTCCAATCTCTTAAAAAGCAGCAAGCAGACCTGGACATGCTGGAGCCGATAGAACAAAAAGCATCCTTGGTCCCAAGTCACTAAAACAAACCCAGAGACCCAGCCAGTCAGCTCTCTCTTCTCCAGCCGGGCCCTAGGGCAGCAAGATCTTCCTTGTTAAGCAGCTGCGTGGCTAAGCCTGGTAGCATGGAAGATGGAGAGAGATTTTTAGGAAATACTTTTCTGAGACCCCATGATTTTTTTTTTCTTGCTGTTGCTGTTTATTTTTATGGGTTTTTCCCCACCCACACACACTTTACAAAATAAGATTACAACCACTCCTGGTAATAATTTAGTAGTTCCTTTTCATTTCAGCTTTTATAAACTAGGGGGTAATTCTAAGAGTTACGAAGGATGATTTATTTAAGAGAACTACGTCAAATAGCAAATGAATTATGGGTAACATTAGATGAAAATAACCTTTTCCCATGGGAAAAGTTTCTCAAAGGCATGGATCCAAATATAAAATATTAAAAAAAATCTAAATAAAGCTTATTTTAAAATATGACCGAATTCTATGTGATTTGATTGTTTCCATTTCACTCAGGGTGGGAAGCTGTGCTCTGCTGGGAGGTGCTCCCTAATCCTTCAGGATTCCAGGGCTGGGTCCTGAGGGGGGACCGGAGGGGCTGAGGAAAGCTGGCTAGATGCTGGGCCCAGGAGGGGGCCAGGCCAGGTGGCCTTCCAGAAACTTCTTGTCTCTGCCACCCTTCCTAATTGGGGGAGGGGCCCTCGGCACCCAGGGCCACCCTGGGTCCTAAGGCGGCAGAGCGCCTGGCCCAGCAGCCCACCGCCTGGAGTGCCTGGAGCCCCATTGGCAGCGTTGGCCTGGTTTCCTCTCCCTTCCCGCCGCTCCCCTCAGCCCAGAGCTGTGACTGCAGCCCTCAGTGGGTCCCTGCATCCTCCCACATCCCCACCCTCCCTGGGGACAGAGTGATTGGAGAGAGAAGCCAGGGAGACACAGGACCTTCCCAATTAGAGCCAAAGGGGACCAGGCTTTTCTAAGCCGGACAAGGTCCCTCCAGGAACAAAACCCAAGTTAAGACTACCAGGTGTCCCAGCGAGGCCCTGGGGAGTACCGAATGGGGTCAGGAAAGCTTAGGACTGTAGAGAACTAAAAGTCATCCACTCCCAAGTTCCCAACCCACACTCTAGGAATCCCCTGGAGTCAGAGGGTCTTAATCCTCCGGTGACTCTCAGTCAGGCTTGGGAACCAACCATTGGGCTCATTTGAGAGAGGCAGACACAGTTACACATGAACTATAACATCCCATGCCTGGCCTCATGCAGACATCACTAATCAATCAAGAGCCTTTGAGTGGCTCAGCTCTCTCACCATAAAGACTCAAGGCAGGCACTGGCAAACCACCTCAGTGCTTTACCTAGACCTTTCTAGTGCCACACAATGCTTTTAGGCCTCCTTTGTGCTTTTTATTTTTATTTTTTACTTTTTAATTTTTTTTAATTTTTTTTTTTGGTACTGGGGACCAAACCCTGAGCTTTGCTTGTACTAAAGAGGAGGGCTCTACCATTGAGCTATGCCCTCCACCCCAGGATCTCCTTAAAGAGAATCTTCTCTGAGATCTTGCTCTATATGGTCCAATTTTAGGCCTCAGGCCATCCAGAGTATCCAAGGTCAGTGTGCCCCTCACCCAGGCTGGGCACTGATTGACTCGTTAAAGTGCCATCCGCCAGGCTTCTGTGTCAATGTCGTCCGGTGGGGCAGTACGTGTTCTCTCCAGCAACTGTTAACAATAATAACAATAATTAATAATGCCTAACATGTCTTAAACACCAACAGGCCCACACTAGCCACCATCCCAACATTAACTCTCCCAGCTACCTCTGTTAGCGATGAGAAAACCGGGGCCTGTCATCTGAGACCAGGAGTCTGGCCGCACCCCCAGCACCTGGGCAGGGAGGGCACCAGCAGCTTCAGTGTCTCCAGGGACTTGGCTAGAGGCCTTTACCCTGACCAGCCCAGAGCTGCTTTGATTTGTGATAGGTTCCCCCCCCCGCCGCCCCCGCTTAGTCTCTCCCCCCGACTTCTGGTGGAGCTGTGGTCCCGTGTGAACCCACACTCTTCTTTCTGGCCAGAGGGAGAGCCGCAGGACCATCTTCCAAGCCCTGACCTGCCTGAGCTGTGGGAGATCCTGAGTCTGGCCTTGCTGCCATCACGTGAGCCAGACTGTGACCACCCCAAGGGCAGCATGGAGGTCCTGGCCCCCCCCCCCGAGATGGGTGGCACTGCCCCACTGCTGAGCTAGGAAACCCAGGCAAGGGGGCGCCCTGCTGAGCTAGGAAACCCAGGCAAGGGGGCGCCCTGCTGAGCTAGGGAGCCCAGGCAGAGGGGGCGCCCTGCTGAGCTAGGGAGCCCAGGCAGAGGGGGCGCCCTGCTGAGCTAGGGAGCCCAGGCAGAGGGGGCGCCCTGCTGAGCTAGGGAGCCCAGGCAAGGGGGCGCCCTGCTGAGCTAGGGGGCGCCCTGCTGAGCTAGGGAGCCCAGGCAGAGGGGGCGCCCTGCTGAGCTAGGGAGCCCAGGCAGAGGGGGTGCCCTGCGGGCTTCGGCCTTGCAACAATACGAATTTTTAAACATGAAGCCAGGCACGGTGGCTCAGGCTTGTAATCCTAGCTACTTGGGAGGATCTGAGGTTTGCTCTTTGAAGCTAGAAGTGGAACCCGTGGCTCAAGTGGGAAAGAAAGCGCCAGTCTTGAGTGGAAAAGCCAAGCAAGAGCACTGACCCTGCTGAGGGGGGGAGGGGAAGAGGGGGCTGTCACCTCCAGCAGCAGCCCTACTACAGCAGCAATGGAGGCACCCAGAAGGTTCCTGACTTCCCTGGAGGTGTCCAGCCAGGAGGCGGAGGAGGCAGATGATAGGTGAGGGAGGAGCCTAGGTTCTGAGAATGATGTCAATCAATGTAGACCCCTCCCACTCCTTGCCCCTCCCACCGCGGCAGCCATGCTCTGCCTAGCAAGCATGGCCCAGCCTTGACCTAGGGCCAGTCAGCACTAGTTAAGGAGCCCTCAATAGGGATTACACTGTGATGGGGAGCAGTGGATATGGGCCTGCTGCCCATAAGCCGAGAGACTTCTGCGCAGACCCTGCCCTGAGGCTCCAGCCGTCCCTAGCCTGGCACAGTAGGTGCTTCCTCAGAACCACTTTTAGGGTGTCCCTGTGGCCCTCAGCAAGCCCCTGCTGGGCAGTACCCCAGTCACAGCTTCCACAGGCCCCAGTTCCCAGGTCCTAAGACTCGGGCTAAGTACAATCTGGTAGCTTTAAGCAAGCAGCTGAGGCTCAGTTTCCTCTCCCATACAATGGGCTGAGAAGGATTGTGAAGGTCTCAGTCAGGTAGCAGTGAGTATGGCGATGGTGACATCACTGAGTTTGGCAGGCCCGTCCTTGGGAT